TTGTGGTTGTGTGTACTGAACCAGATTGAAGAATTTGAGGCTTTGCAGGTGTTTTGAGTTAATTAGCTTATAAGAGCTCTTCTCAAGTCAACATTTCTGTATTATAAATTCTTTATTCTAATATTTTGAGATGGTGGCTTTTTGATTTCCATGAGCTGCAAGCCATAATCATCAAGAATAAAACATACAAAAAAGGCTCAAAGTATTTCATGTTATGTGTAACGAATCTAGCATATATTAATGTTTGACTTTTTGAATTAAATTACTGAAAAAAGGAACTTTTCAAAGATTGTCCAATTCTTTGAGATGAACCTATATATACACTCACAGTGTGCATATGTTAACTCTGAGGTACCAATAAGTGGGTGAACAAATGTTCTGGAACTGGAAAACTCAGAGTAAGCATTGTTTGGGTTAATCAACCTAGAGTTCAGATTTTATGTAACACCAAGTTAACTTTGCTTTCAGGAATACCCCTTTAGTTTCTGTTACTCCTTTCTAACCCATGAACCTACAATAGCCCCATTTTACTTAAACTGCAGGTATGTTTGTTTTGCAGCTCACAACAAATGTCCTGTGGCAACATAAGACGTTTCAGTTTTTTATATTTCTTTTTACCTCATATCCTCAATTAAGGACTAAAGCTGCATTTCAGTTCTATGTTGGGCAACTTGCTTAGCTAGGTCATGTGACCTAGAGATTTAAGAGAATTAAGCCCATGGACCAATCAAATGCAAGGGGCAGTAAAATTCTAATTACTGTCATCTCTTAGGCAGTCCAATTAGTAACACAACAGGCTTAGAAGAACATCAGGATGTTTAGAAATGCTTGAATACCTGCCTGCATAGGAAATACCCTCCAAGTAGTGGTGTGCTTGCAGTTGTCTGTTAGCAACAATGGGTTTCAACCAAGTTCAATTAAATTCAATCCAATTTTATTTGTATAGCGCTTTTTACAACAGACATTGCCTCAAAGCAGCTTTACAGAAATAGAAACACGGTATACAGATATTAAAGGTGTGAATTTATCCCAACTGAGCAAGCCACTGAGTGGGGATGGTGGCAAGGAAAAACTCCCTAAGATGTTTAAAGGAAGAAACCTTGAGAGGAACCCGACTCAGAAGGGAACCCATCCTCATCTGGGTAACAACAGACAGTGTTAAATAGTACAGCATGGATGTACATGAAGTCTGTATGGCCTTCGGAGCAGCCGCAGTCCCAGTAGAGAAGATTTGAGACTTGAGCTCCATCCAGAGGCTGAAATGATCTGGATCTCCAGTATCTCCATAAATTCGTGTGTGGCTCGGCAAAAGGAGAGAGGGAGAAAAAAGATTATTATGACTGTGAAGTAGTAAAAATAGAACTTAGTCAGGGTAGGCTTGAGTAAACAAATATGTTTTAAGCCTAGACTTAAACACTGAGACTGTGTCTGAGTCCCGAACACTAATTGGAAGACTGTTCCATAACACTGGGGCTTTATAAGCGAAGGCTCTTCCCCCTGCTGTAACCTTCACTATTTGGGGTACCATCAAATAGCCTGCATCTTTTGATCTAATTAGGTGTGGCAGATCATATAAAACCAGAAGGTCGCTTAGATATTGTGGTGCCAGACCGTTTAGTGCTTTATAGGTTAATAAAAGTACTTTATAGTTAATGAGAGAATTTACTGGGAGCCAATGCAGTATGAATAAGATCTGGGAAAAAGTTGGGTTTGGTGTACTGTTGCTTTTGGCAGTTGGCTTGTCAGCAGCACAATGGCCAGGATTAAGGAATGTTGGGCTTCAACCTAACAAACCAGGTCATCCTTCACTGCAAGTGAGTGCTGGGTTGCCTTCTCCGTTAGTACAAAGTGATCCCCACACTGGAAGCCCTGCAGTAGCCCCACTTGGATTGCATTTTCAAAATCCTTCAGATGCTCAAGACCAGCAAGTAATGCAGAGGCCAGTGAAGAAATTGACTTGGCGTTTTCCAGCAGCCCCACAAATCCCAACCCCACCAGCACCAGTGAATTTCGTGAGACCGTCTAATGCTGTTCCTACCCAGAGTGTAACAGCAAGGTGCAATGAGACTGCAGTGTATGTAGATGTGAGAAAAGACCTGTTTGGTACTAGTGCACCCCTCAATTTTGCTGCTCTCACACTGGGAGGCTGTGCTGCCAAAGGGGTGGCTGTTTCTTCTCAATTCCTTGTCTATGAATCACCATTGCATGGCTGCAACAGCAAGTTGACCGTAAGTCTTCTATTGCTATATACCTTTTTGTTTTAAGCTCACTATCAGACATTAACTTAGATTTACACCCCTCATTCAGGTGACTGCAAATGAGCTGGTCTATATCTTCACCCTTGGTATTGTTTCAGTGCCCTTAAGTAGTGCTCCCATTCTAAGAAGTCCTGGTGCTATGGCTTTTGTTGAGTGTCACTATCTGAGGTGTTGCTCTCTTCCAAGAAATCTGTTTGTGTTTACTTTGGAGGATGTACTCATTTGTGATGGTCCTGACTTGAATGCTTTCCAGATTCCACAATGTGAGAAGCAGTGCTCTCCTGCCTGCTTGGATTCCATATGTTTCTGCTCAAGCTGCTGAGGAGCATCTCACTTTCTCCTTGAGGCTCATGATGGGTTTGTATCATAGTTGACTTGTAGTTTGCTTGTTTCAGGATGAATTACTAATGAAGCTGCTTTTTGTAGATGACTGGATATCTGAAAGACCGTCTGACTTCAACTACCACCTGGGTGAGCTTATATTATGTGAATAAATGTAATTATATAAAAGTGAATAAATGTAAATATTGAGGCATGGGTATAGCAGTTCAACCCTGCATGTCCTTGTAGACAGCTGTGTGGCCACTGCTGTCCCTGATATAAATGCAGTCCCCAGATATTCCTTCATTGAGAACCATGGGAGAGTGAGATTCATTTGTAAGCCTTTGTAACCTGTCCTGAACACTAACTGGTGTAAATCCTTCCAGGTGCTTGATTGATGCCAAGCTTACACACTCCAGTTCCCGTTTCATGCCCTAGATTCAAGCAGCTAAGCTGGGGTTTCAGATGGAGGCATTCAAGTTTCAGCAAGTGACCAGTAGGTGATGACTGTTTTTTCAGGGGTGATGTGTGTTTAACTGTCAGAATGCAACTTGTTCTCCCTCTGATGCCAGTTCTATATTGCATGACTCTTGAAGGCAACAGCAGCATCTGCCCCTGCTGATTCCGAACACAAGGCTTGTTCCTTCTCTGGCAATAGGTATATTGCTGTGGCAGTGTTGGTACTGTGCAGGTGAGCTGTGACTACTAATGCACAACTGTTTCTTCCTAGCTGGACTGCTGCATATGGTGCTGACCAGGTATGCAGTTGTTGCAGCAGCAGCTGTGGTTCGAGGAAGGGACGTGATCTCCCATCAGAGCAAAGTATTTGGGAAAACCATGCTGTTTATGTAATGTCTTTGCACTCTATGACCTGAATTGCCACTAAACAACTTATGATTCTTTTGTCGTTTTGTAACCTGGTCATGCGTTTTACCTTTATTTGCAGTCTTGCAGCTGGAGAGAGAAGTGAGCCTTGGCCCAATCATGGTTCTGGAAAATATTTGGTAGTCTACTGACTATTTTTTAAAATTTACATTTTTATAACTTGTGTCTTGTAATGCCTCGTTCCTTCTGACACAACTGAGTATGCTCTTGTCTTGTAATGGGCAGAGTGCAAGCATGGACTCTGGCAAAACTAACTGACTGCATAACTAGAGATTACCAGATAGATACTTTATTGATCCCCAAAGGGAAATTCAAGGTCCCAGTAGCTCAAGACATCACACACAATACAACTTATGATAAAGTATAAGTAGGATGCTAAACAAAATGACTAATAAAAAAAGAGTGAAATATACCAAATCAAGGATCCACTGACTGGGTAATAGATGTAGGGGTTGTGCATGTGAGCTAATATAGTCCGTAAACAGTCACACAGTGAGCCAGTACACAACATAAGAGGTCATGGAAGTGAATGAGAATGTATGAAAAGGTGAAGAGGCAGATAAACTATGCAGAGAAGTCTATCACACCTCTTCCTTTAAGTGAAGTGCATGGCAGTGAGCGTAGCCTCCAACTGATCGAGCTCTTTTGCTTTATGATAGTGTTATGGAGTGGATGACAGTCATGGTCCAAAATATTAATCAATTTGCTCAGGGTCCTTTTGTCTAACACTGAAGTGATACACTCCAGTTCCGCTCCCACAACAGAGCCAGCTTTCCTTACCAGCCTTACCAGCCTGTCCAGTCGTCCAGTATCCTTCTTCTTAGTGCTTCCTCCCCAGCATACCACAGTATAGAAGAGGACGCTGGCAACAACAGACTGGTAGAACATCCAGAGGAGCTTGCTGCAGACATTGAAGGACTACAGCCTCCTCAGGAAGTGCAGCCTGCGCTGCCCTTTCTTATAGAGTGCTTCAGTGTTGACTGACCAGTCCAGTTTATTGTCCAAATGTATTCCCAGATACTTCTTTACCACCTTTACCCCCTCAATGGTGACTGGCAGCAGAGTGGGCTTAGACTTATGGAAATCTACCACCATCTCCTTGGTCTTAGCAGTGTTGAGTTGTAGGTGGTTGAGATTTTTGTGCACCATTGCACAAAACCAAATCCATTACCTTAAAATTAGTATGATTAAAATTCATATTTTGAATCTACTCTGAAGCCTAAATAATTGCTAAAAATAGAAAACAAATGGGAAGCTATAATGGATCTTTGAGGAACTTTTTTTTTTTTTTTTACTTGTTGGAAACGTGAACTATAATCTCTTAAACATGCACATTGAATGAATATATCCATCCATCTTCAACCACTTATTCCTGCTTCAGGGTCGCGGGGAACCTGGAGCCTATCCCAGGAAGCATCGGGCACAAGGCAGGGTACACAGTCCATCGCAGGGCACAATCACATACACACTCACACACACATTCATACACTATGGACAATTTACCAGCACGGGGAGAACATGCAAACTCCGCACACACGGCCCCGGCGGGAATCGAACCCCGGACCGGATTTTAGCACAGCTTCATCCCCGGACCCTGGAGGTGTGAGGCGAATGTGCTAACCACTAAGCCACTGTGCGCCCCTGAATGAATATAGTTTTATGAAAATAGTTTTCAAACCATTTTAGCACAGCTTCACTAAGAACTATACACATAAGATTCTGTTACAATAGATTATGATAGAATCAAAAGCTTTAGAAAGGTCAACAAATAATGCTGCACAGAACTTTTTGCAATTGAAAAACTGTCAATTGTTACTAACATAGCTGCATTATGGTACTGTGACCTGCTCTAAAACCCAATTGTTGATCATTAAGGATATGAAACAATTTCTAACTGATATCAATGATTCAAATATTTTGGATCTGGTAATCTGAAGACAGGATGATTATTAGGATCTGAAGTGTCGCCATGTTTTAATAATGGAATGACTGTTGCCAATTTCCACATTCTTGGCATGGTATAAGAACTTGAGCATAGATTAAAGATGGAAGCAATTAACTTCTGCTGGTATTGTGGCCCTGCCACATGGAAGATGAACACTTGTTCAGGGCCATGTTTAGCAGGATCAACAGATTTCATAAAGGTTCCAGAATTAATAGACTCAGAACTTAAGACAGCAGAAAAATAGTTTCTAAAAGTATCAGCAATATCTACTCTACCCTTAACTACAGTTGCTTGACAAATGATCTGGAACTTTAAGTGATAAACTTGAAATCAACTGATTTAGCTAACTTTCAATTTGATTTCCAGTTATTAGAGGATGTACAAAGTGGATCAATATAGATATTTTGACCATACCCGACCAGTTAGTGTTTGGGTTTTTTTATCCAGAACTGTTAAATTTTTTTTATGACTAATCTGTGTAATTTTGGATCATTTGAGTTAGTATTAACTTATCTGTTAGAGCTGCCATCCAACCATTGTTGGCCAAACTCCGTCAATGTCTAAAAATAAATTTCCGTTCTACGTAAGGCCAAGCTAATTGGCTTGACAAAGCTTTTGAACCAATCAGATGCCAGGAAGTATAAAATACTAATTGATGTTATCTGTGTAAATGCTAAAACAGCAGGTTTAGAAGGATCTCAAGATAATTAAAAGGTTGCCTGAAATACAGTATAAAATGTAATAGCCAGCTTGTACATGTGTATTTATAATTCTCAATCAATAATACAATTAAAACAAGTTGGTAGTTTTGCATTGCTGTTTGTTGCCTTTGGCTGAAGCACGATGGCCAAGACTGTGGAAACTTCATGGTACTTCAGGAGCACCACCAGTACATCTTGAAAGGAATTTTAATCCAATTCCTACTTTGAGTGTAACAGCAGAATGCAATGAGACTGCAGTGTGTGTGGCAGTGAAGAAAAATCTGTTTGGTAATGATTAACCCATCGATTATTGCTGCTCTCACCCTGGGAGGCTGTGCTGCTGAAGGGGAAAATGCGGTTTCTCAAGTCCTTATATATGAATCTGAACTGGGTGGCTATCACAGCAAGTTGGCTGTAAGTCTTTATTTCTAGAAATACTTGGTTCTGTTTAAATTGTCTGATCACTTGCATTACTTCTCTCTCAGGTGAATGAGGATGAACTGGTCTATGTCTTTGCCCTTGGTATTGCTTCAGAGCCTTTAAATGGTACTCCCATTTCAGTTGAGTGTCACTATCCAAGGTGTTTTTCCATATTTTAAACCTGTTTGGGTTTACTTGGACAACTCTACTAAATCTGGTTTTTCAAATGCTTTCCAGATTCTGTACTCACTTACTGATGCCTGTGTGAAGAGAATACAGAAACAGATTTAGGGATAAAATCAAAAGTCAAAATACCAGAACAGCAGTCAAAAATACAGAGTAAGCCACAAGGGCAAGCAGACAAATAAAGTAATCTCCTAACAACACATCCCTTCTCACGCCATCTTCGTCTTTAAAAATGGCCGCCAATCAGTGAGGTCATCAAAGGGGCAGGAGCAAGGCAGGCTCTAGCAGGCTGGAAAATCTGGAAGGGAGTTCGGACCTGCACAAAATGTCACAGCACAAATAAACTCCCCTCTAGATATATAAAATATAATTTTATATATATATATATATATATATATATATATATATATATATATATATATATATATATATATATATATATATATAGATATAGATATATAGATAGGCACCGTAAATCCTGCATTAATGAACCCTAGGGATACAATGGCTTGTGTAAACCTCACCTTGTTTCAAGACATGACTTGGTTCATGATGGCTTTGACTGGATGAGGTGTTCTGTATTCTGTGGAGTCTGGGATTTGGAACCATGTGTCTTTGTACCATCTAATTCCAGGAGACTTCATGGTTTTCTTTAAAGCCTTTTTTTGGGTATACTACTGAACTTTTTGTCTGCTTTTCTCTTCTAGGGTACCAGCTAGCAACACAAGTAGCCCTTGCGCCGATCATAGTTGAAGAAGTGTTTGACTCGTTTTGAAATAAAATGTTTTATTAAATTTGCAGTTGTGACTTAAGTGAAGACTGAGGCTAGCCATAGCTTTTAATAAATGTTCATTAAGTGCTCCAAGAATTTAATAAATATGCAAGTGTACAGGCATTCTTAAAAAAGTGAACAGCAAATGTGTATAGATTGTACAGATCCACTAACATGAATCAGTCTTGTAGCTTATCACAAACAATAAGCCTTCTGCTGTAGGTATTCTTTACAAGCCCAGTTGGCAACAACTGGGGTCTATTTCGGAGAGCAGGTTATGAGGCTTACCTGGGTAGCTTTACTCCAAGTAAATGGATCACCTCAACCATCGGTTCCAAAAACAGTGATAATTTTTAAGGTATCCAGCCATACCAATCACTCTCTGAACATAACCTGCTCTGAAGAAGGTTATGTTTCCAAAGAGCTAATGGAGCAGGGCGTGCCCTTTTGAAGAATGTCCTGTGGACAATGAAGCACAGACTATACAAAAACTTTTTCACTGTGAGAGGGTGACTAAGACCATGTATAATTGTGTTTTCATATCAGGATGAATATTTCAGGGGTGTAACCATTTTTCACATGAATCATTGATTTATTTGACAAACCTTTTGAAACTTCACATCACCAACGTGACACGTCGTGGATCAGCGCATAACACTGAGCACATATTTATGCAGTGCTCTTTATTTTTGCCAGAGGGAGTTTTCTGTATAACATGCGTGCTGCAGAGCATGTGCGTAAGGTAACTGTTGTGTAGGGCCATTCGTGTACAGTATGCCTGGCACTCCAAGGGTTCAGCATTATCTTGTGCAGGGCCCTGGCAATTTCATGTTTCCCAAATGTGATTAGATGCATTGATGTTGCTATTAAAGCATCCTTCAGTGAATGAAGAAGACTGTTAATAGGAAGTCATTCTATGGGAGCAATGTGCAGCTAACAGTAGAATATTGGGTGCTGAATCAAAGTTTAACAAATTAAATTCAACACCTTACTGGTCCCTACTAACTAGATATGTGACTCAACCCACCTCATCACCAACAGGGAAGCGAAATGACCAGGGTCTGTACCCAATACCAGAATATTTCAAGGCCCCCTACACTTTATGAAAATGATCAAGAGGACCCCCAGTTAACCAGTGGACTAGAGAGATTGCAGGTTGTTACAAGATGTGATCTGCTAAAATCACTTCTTATTAAAAGGCTAATGCAAAAAGTAAACAGTCAAGTGTGGATCACTGTTTCTTTATTTTCTGTATTTGAAAGACATTTGTATTTATTGCTTTGACATTCAGCAATAAATGACAGAATAATCATCACTAGGCAAATACTCCCTTTTTTACATTCACCTTTTTTCCTCCAATTGAAGTTATATTCAATTCAATTCAATTTTATTTGTATAGCACTTTTTACAATAGACATTGTCTCAAAGCAGCTTTACAGAAATATCAACATGGTATATAGATATTAAAGTCTGGAATTGGAGAAGATTTGAGCTCCATCCAGAGGCAGAAAGGATCTGGATCTCTAGTATCTCCATAAATTCGTGTGTGGCTCGGCAAAAGGAGAGAGGACTATGAATTAGTATAATAGAAAGTCTAGTCAGGGTAGACTTGAGTATACAAATACGTTTTCAGCCTATACTTAAACACTGGGACTGTGTCTGAGTCCCGAACACTAATAGGAAGACTGTTCCATAACTGTGGGGCTCTATAAGCGAAGGCTCTTCCCCCTGCTGTAGCCTTCACTATTCGAGGTAATGTCAAATAGCCTGCACCTTTTGATCTAAGTAGGCGTGGCGGATCATATAAAACCAAAAGGTCGCTTAGATATTGTGGTGCAAGACCGTTTAGTGCTTTATATGTTAATAAAAGTATTTTATAGTTAATGCGAGATTTTACTGGGAGCCAATGCAGTATTGATAATATTGATGTGATATGGTTGTATCTTCTAGTTCTAGTTAGGACTCTAATTTGAAATTGTTTATATATGGTCCATCTCTATGTCACTTTTCTCATTTGCATTTGAATATGCATCTTTATACAGTAACTTTTCAGGCAGCTAGGAAGACAGAATGATAATTCAATATGATTGATGTCTGTAATACATACACAGACGAAATATTTTTAATCAGGGCGACTGCAAACAAGATTTTACTGTTAACACTTAAGATTCTGTGTGGTGGTACAACTCCAATTCCAAAAAGTGTTGGGACGCTGTGTCAAGTGTAAATAAAAATAGAATGCATTGATTTGCAAAATCTCATAAACCAATGTTATTCACAATACATTACAATTATCCACTTGGCAGACGCTTTTATCCAAAGCGACTTACAAATAAGCAAAGCGATATATTAAGCAGAGAACAATTCAAGTAGTGCTACTATACAAGATCCATTAATTGATTTCCAGAGGAAGCAAAGTGCACAGAGTAGAGCTGTAAGTGCGTTGTTTTTTTATGAGTTGGTTAGGTGTTCATGGAAGAGGTGTGTCTTTAGCTGTTTTTTGAAGATGGTGAGAGATTCTGCAGTCCAGATCGAGATTGGAAGTGCATTCCACCATTGAGGAACAGTTAGTGTAAAGGTTCTGGAAAGGGCCTTGGGAACTACTAAACTTCGG